AAGAATTCTTGAAAATAATCAAGAAATCCACTATGACTTCATGGAGAGATTTACAAACAACTGCAAAAGATCGTACCTCAAAAGGCTGGGGTAAAATTATGGGGATACATGAGAAGAAATATTGCTTTGGTTTGGGCTACGAACCGTCAAAGGCTATCCTGAAGAGCAAGGTGCAATTTCCTCTCATCCAGGAAACCTTCATCCGCAAAGGAGTAGAGCATGGTGGACATGTAGCAATGATATCCAACAAAAGCAACATAAAAGGAGCATCTAACTTCATCCGTGAATTCGCTCCAGGCGAAGAAATTAAGAATTGGATAAATGTGGAGATTCCAGAGATCTTTTTCTTTCCAAAGTAATTTTTCCTGTTTTTAAAAGAACCTATGTCACGCCCGAGGCATAGGGGTAACTTGTAAGGGCCCCCATTTGTTTTCAAACAATATTTTCAATTTATTAGAGTTGTGTTTTGCATTCAATTAAGATCCATGTCTTTCTTTTACATTTCTCTTTCCTTTTAAAAACTGAAATACTTTTCTACATATGCATTTTTTCAAATTCACATACTAAGATGCACCAAAACATGATAAAATGTGCAGATCCACATCTAAAACCACCAATAATGTTACTGTTGCTATCTGATATAACTTTGATGTGCTGATTAACCAAGCTGAAGAGAAAGATGAAGAAGATCTTGAACTCTCCGAAGAATTGGCGAGGGTGTTAGAGCAAAAAGTTGACAATATAAAACCATACCAAGAATCTATTGAGATCATCAACCTTGGCACAGAAAAAGATCCAAAAGAGATCAAGCTAGGGGCAACCTTGGAGGAAAACATCAAAGAAAGGATGATCAAGCTTTTGCGTGAGTACATGGATATATTTGTTTGGTCCTACAGAGATATGTCGGGATTGGATACATATATCCTGGTACATAAACTTACTTTCAAAGAAGGTTGTTCTCCAGTTAGACAGAAGCTCAGAAGAACTCATTCAAACATGTCTGACAAGATTCAAGAAGAAGTGCTTAAACCATTTGATGCAGGGTTACTAGTCGTGGTAGATTATCCATCTTGGATAGCTAATATCGTGCCAGTTCCCAAGAAGGACGGTAAAGTATACATGTGTGTAGACTATCGAGATCTAAATAAAGTAAGTCTCAAAGACGATTTCCTGTTAGTTCACATAGATGTTTTAGTGGATAATATAACTCAAGCTTTAGTATTTTCATTCAGGGATGGCTTCTCAAGTTATAATCAGATCAAAATGGCAGTCGAGGATATGGAAAAAACTACTTTCATGACTCCTTGGGGCATCTTCTGTTACAAAGTAATGCCCTTCGGTCTAAAGAACACAAGGGAAACTCATCAACGAGCAATGGTCATGTTATTCCATGATATGATCCACAAAGAAGTCGAGGTATACGTAGATGATATGATTTCCAAATCTCATACAGAGGAGGATCACATCATACATTTACAAAAATCATTCGAATGTCTACGAAAATTTAGACTGAGGTTGAATCCGAACAAATGTACATTTGATCAAGCTCTTGTATATGACATGTAGGTTGTACTCCCTGTTAAAGTGAAAACTCCATCACTATGAGTTCTAATGGAAACCAAGCTTGAAGAGTTAGAGTGGGTTCATGCGCGACTTGATCAACTCAACCTGATTGAAGAAAAATGCTTAACAACTCTATGCCATGGTGAGTTGTACCAAAAGCGATGAAGAAGGCATTCAACAAATAGTTATATCCTTGAGTGTTTAAAGAAGGGGATTTAGTTCTCAAGAAGATTATGAAACCTCAATTATATTCATGTGGTAAATGGACACCCAACTAGGAAGGTCCATATGTGGTTAAAACAACATTCTCAGGTGGAAGTCGTATCCTCACAACAATGGATGGGGAAGAACTACCACATCCGACGAACTCTGACACAGTAAAAAAAATACTATGTATAAAAGGCCCACTAAGTTCGAACCCTAAACGGGTGACTTATGCAAAAGGGGGCATCGTGGTGGATTGAAAACCCTAAAGGGTGATCCAGGTAAAAGTTAGGGACAAACAAACAAAACCCATTATCCCGGTGGATTGAAAATATGAAAGATGGTCCAGGAAAAAGTTAGGAATCTTATTCAAAAAAAAAGAAAGAAGAAAAAAAGAAGAATAAATAGACTGCAATATGAGAATTCATTACCACGATTACAAAAAAGAATGATCAACCTAAATCATCTGACTCAGAAGTGAAGGAGATTGGAGTTATCAAAAGGACATTGGAGAAAAAATAGCTGTAGCAAATATCATTTTCATTGCCATTTTCAAACTTTGTTAAAACTTCCTGTAATCATCTCTTTTCAGGAATTTCATCTTGTACTCTATCCTATTCAAAAGGCACTTTCGTCAATAAAACAATTTACTTTTCAATCTTTTCAATTGTGTTTTCCTTTTTCATACTTATTTGCAAAATACTACGATTATTTCTTGTAAGTTTTGCGATGAAATTATTTTGGGGATTTGACAAACAAATAGAGGAATTTGATAAAACATCAAAGAGAATTTTGGTTATAAAAACGTCAAAAGAAAATTCACGTCTACATCCACGACTATGCCTACGCCTACGCATATGCCTACGATACAATTATCAACAACACATTGGCACTATTCACCATGATATATCAAATCAACTTGGAGACACTACAACAAGACAATAAAAAACGTCAAGAAGTCGGTTACTAAGAGAACCCAATAGTTTAAAAGGAGAAAAATGTCAAAAACATTTACAAAAAACACTTGGTGCATGTACGTACGAAACATTTGGTGTATATACAAAATAACACATTTTGTGTATCATATCAATTTGGGGCATTGTGCATATGCACTTTGCATTGCATTTTCAAAACCGTTTAAGACAAGAATACTGTGACATATCTTGAGGCCTATTGTGAATTAGCTTATCTGTGCGAAACAAACAAATACCTTGGTTGAGAATGAATACAACTGGTAGACTTTGATTTATATCTTTGGTTTAGTTATGTAAGACTTAGTTTTCAAAACTCAAATTCAAACATCAAATCAACATTGTTTATCCCCTAGGTTGTGATAAATATGAAAATCTGTGATATAGCTTACTAAATTAGTATCGAAGATTTAGTAAGTTATCTATCTTTCAAAACTCATGTTACTTACCCCCTAGGTTGTGGCAGGTACACAAAACTCTGCGATATGATTCATTGTGTTAGTCTCTAAGCGGCAATGAACTATCAAGTCTGTGCTATTTATCCTCTAGGTCGTGATAAAATGGAAGTCTATGTTATACCTTACTATGTTAGTCTCGAAGCGTTAATAAGATATTTTCAGCCCATATCATTTACTCCCTAGGTTGTAGTAGATATACGAAATCTATGATATAAATTGTCGTGTTAGTCTTGAAGCAGCAATAAGTTATCTATTTTTCTGTGATATAGTTTATTGTGTTGGTCTTCAAGCGACAATGAATTATCAAAATCCCCTAGGTTGTAGTGTGTATACAAAATCTGTATAGTAAGCTTGCTATGTTAGTCTTGAAACGTTAGTGAGTCAACTTTCAAACTGGTGTTATTTACCCTCTAGGTCATGGTAAATACTCAGTAACAGCGATATAACTTATTGCACCAGTCTCAAAGCAACAATAAGCTATCTATTTTCAACTTGTGTTATTTACCTCCCAGGTTACGGTAAATGCACAAAATCTACAATTACTTTTCTAGGTGTTGACAGTTATCCGCGTCATTGTATCTAGATCTATTATACTCTTTATTCAGGCATTGGTAAGTTAATTACGTCATCCTCACCTATTTTTTTTTACTCTTGGGTATACTTTATAGTTTATCCTTATCTAATAATCTTTTGGTCAAATTTTGAGGTCTTCCATTATTTAAAAACCCTCTGATCTGAATGTGCGAGACCTTCATATTCTCGCACCTTCAATCGAAGAGCGATTAAATAGGGATAGCTGTCATACCCCAAATTCGTCCGCCTGGGTGTAAACAGTCAATTTCTCTTAATAAGAATTATCGGTTCATTTTTATTAATAACTAATGTTTATTTGACATCTAAGTTATCTTTCTTTTTAATAAAAGGGGGGTCCAATTTTGGGGAAGGGCGTCTGTTTCATAACTCATCAATAAAGCTTGTATTCTTAAATTTAATCTAATGGCCCATTAGACTTGTAAGCCCATGCGTTTTATTGACCAGAGTCAATTTCTGCCTATCACTATTGTCTTCTTATTTGTTTATGTTTTATCTTGAAATTTATTCTATATTGTTTTTTCAATGTGTTTTTCGGGGAAGGCCTATTAGCCTTATTAAGGTTGACCGAAGTTAATATTTAACTATTGTTATTTAAATTATTATCATTGATATGATAATAATTATTATCGTTAGTATTATTATTACTATTAGTATTATAATAGTGGTATTGTCACATTTTTATTACAATTATTATTATCAATGTTATTATTTTTCTTTTCAAAAGCTGACCAGAGGTCAACTAGGGTTAGAGCCTTCACCCTCAGCGACACCCATGTACTTTCTTCTTCCTTAAGCATAGCAGTAAGCTCAGAAACTATTTTTGAATCAAATTTTGATTAAATCAAATTTGAGGAAATATGTTTTTTATTGACTGAAAACGAATTTACAGTGTGATATCATACGAATACACTTACAACAAATCAAAGCCCTAAATCTAAGATTACAGAGTCCCAATCAAATCTCTGTACAACAAATAAAATCCAAACTTAATTTCTAATTGAATCAATCAACAAATCACAGATTTATAACTGTAAAATCACTTAAAATTTTCCTAATCTATCTTACCTAAAAAAACTATATAAAGAACCCTAAACCAACGAATTTTGGGGAAGAAAAAAATTGAGAAAAAGAAGGAGTAGAAGGTAGATTCCGAGACTCGATCTCTTGAATCTTCATCCACAAAAGCTCTTCAATCGGAAAAATTAGGGTTTCATAACTGATACTCTAAACCTTTGTTGAACCCAACACCTCCATCGTTAGTATCTGCAAGACAACAAAGAAAAAGGTGATTAGACGGATAGGATAAAAAAATCGGAAGAGGAAAACATCCAGTTTCATGGCCAGAGAGGTATATTAGAAAACCACTTAGCTTAGGATTTGTGTTGCTAATTGTTTGTGATGATTCACGTTCGCCATCGATTTTGGGATTAGGGTTAGTAATTTTGAGTTTGGTGTATTGTTGTTGTTGTATGGAAGAAGGGGAAAGAACGAGAGGAAGTAGAGAGAAAGAAGAGAAGAGAGACAAGAATTCTTATGAAAATGAAATGAAAATATGAGAGAATGGTGATATACTCTCCCATCGCTTCGCTAGATTCGCGACACGTGGCCATTTGCATTCCACATAATTGGATGATGTACAACAATCCCACGAGTTACCCCATATAGTGCACCCTAGTCAAATTATAATCTTGTCCTTTCGTTCTTTATACTTTTAATATACGCCCCAAGATTAACTCATGAGGGACCTTAGATTAAGATGAACGCTCCAGATCTTTTTCCCCCACCATAACACATACGCTCACCCATACACAACCCAAACACTCTCATAATTTGTTCCGGGGCTTTATACAAATTCCTGGGCCTAAAGCCATTTTCTTTCAACATCCCAATTTTTTACTTTTGCTAATATCAACCATAATTCATACCCCCCAGACTTATTGGATCAAACTAATCATTGGGCCTCAGCTTTTGATACTTACACACCCTGATTTTTACTATCATACTAAAAACGACACCCTCTATATTTTAACTAATTAATTTATTTGTATAATTAATTAATTAATTAATTAATTAATTAATTTGTTTATTTTATTTATTTATAATCCTTAACATCTTTTTGCAATAAAATATTTTTAGCATAAAAATTATTAATAAATGAATATTGGATTTTATCAAAAATATTTAATATATTTTTAATAATAAGAAAAGATCTATTTATTGGTTATTTTCTAAAATACTAACTATTTTTTCTAATTTTATCAAAAAATTCCAAACTTATTTTTTTTATCATACATCCTAAGACAACTAACCCATCAAATACTAACATTTTTGCTAACTTAATTTCAAATTCTATCATTTTCAAAAAGGATTGTGGATCTACTTTATATTAACTACGAACTATGTCTACGATTCCGCTACTTTCAAACTCAGACATGGTTCAAAGATTAATTTCAAATATTTCCACAATCCATAAAAAAATTAACCAAACACTTTGAACTACGAATTGAGATTTTGATTCCTCATAAGAGGATACGTAGGCACGTGACTTAAAAATAAAGGCGAGTTCCCCTTTTAAAAAATTAAATTTTTTCTCAACATATGGAAACAAATTACCCCTGAAATTCCTATCCTATCCTTAGACCTAATAATAGACTTCTTTGAGATCAAGGTAGATGAAGGGTGTCTAACACCTTCCTTTCATCTAAAATAACTCGCGAACTTGGAATCTTCGTGCGAATTAGGGTTATCCGTTATTCACCTGTCGTGAGGACAAAAATAATGGTAGCGACTCGTTATTTTTTTCCGGTTACGACAGTCGGAGGAAAAATCTCGCACATGCGTATCTTTCTGGTTTGACTATTAAATCTTCTAAATTTCTGGTACTGTGAGTTCTTCGCATTTACCAAAAAGTGTGCCTTAGTCTAGACGGTGTAATAAAGGAGTTACGATATTTGACGTGATTGGTCCATGGAAACGGCGCCAAAAAACTAGATTAGGGTATTTCGCAAGTGCACGAAATGTATCAGAGTAATATAAAGAGTGTCGAACCCACATAGACCTAATAGTCAAGCTATCGTTATCTATTGCTACGGTGTTTATCTAATGCGAATAAAAATAAGTGTTTAGATTGTGAAAACGAGATAAAATAATGAACTTGAATTAATTCAGAAATGCAATATTGAAATGTGGATCTCATCAATTTGTTGATACTCTTATTGTTCTTAAATTGAAATACTTATGGAACAATGTTTTCCTCTTTTAAAAAGAATTAATTAAAAAAGAATTGTCGCAGTCGCGTAATCAGAACCAGATTTTACTCTTTAATTTATATCGTCCGTTGTCGCGTGCCCGACGCATTTTTCTTTAAATAAGTAAACCTTTTTTAGAAATAAGTTTATTTCACTCAGATGAAAATTTGTTTTGATTGGAAAATAAGACTTTAAAGGGTTCCCGATGTTCGCTCGGCCAACCGTACCTTAAACTTACAAACGCGTCTGAAAATAGGTTCAAAAGTACTTTATTAAAATACTAACTTTCCTAATTAATTAACCAATAGATTTCGCGGTTTTTATCAATTTAAAACTAAACAACCATAACCATTTGTATCAGACGACTTTTGATCTTACCCGATGTATAAAGGGTTCTACTTTCGTACTAACTGACGATTTTAAGTTTAGAAAAGTTGTGATTAAAACCAAAACAACCCCATAAACTTTTCTCAAGAACAATGATTTAGAGTATCATCGAATCGATGATCCTCACATTTCAAGACTTATAATTTAGCTAGATATGATTGTAACGTCCGATAAAACAATTAATTCTTTTTTAAAATAAAGCATAGTAGTCATAATGACTAAAACTTTAAATATGTAATTGGAATAAAAATGTAAGATGAACATGCGATTAAATAAAGATACGGTAAAATAAATATAATGCGATAAATAAAAACCTGCTCCAAAGAGACTTTAATCTGGTACAAGAGTAAAATTGTTGGAAACTTGAATGCGGGAAATAAAACGGTGGCAAAATTAAAACTTCTTCAAAGGTTGCTCCAAACTCAATACAAACACGATCCTCAACAATGCTATAACCCCTCAATGTGACGAGTTATAACTTTAATCAGTAAATATATGTCTAAGAGTGTGCTAAATATGGATCCCTAAAAAAGTGAGAGTAAAGACTTATTTATGAATATCCAAAGTGCCAAAATGTCTCAAGGAAGTTGTTGGATTCGTGGGAGAAGAAATAAGAGAGAATGGAGTGAATGAGAGACCAAGCCAAGCCCTTTTGTAACTGCTTTCCAATACAATGTGCGGCGACTGCCACACCACTCATGGTGAACGCCATGCTTTCAATGTGGCTATGACTTGGTCTTTTGACTGTTAGTGCATGGACTACTCGTGGCTACCACTGTGGGGGAACACGTTGATGGTCGCCTTGAGTTCAAAATGCTCTATCTCTTCTATTTTTTGTCTTTTTTGCTTTGTTTCTTCGCATATGACTCTTAAATAGCAAAATATCTGAAACACACATAAATACCAACATAATAATGGAAATAAAAATAAAAATGACAATAAAACATGTACAAATAAAATTAAATTAAATAAATAGTGTAATTTGGTGTCATTAAAAAACATTGAGAATAAACTAACCTTCCCTTTGATATACATTGTGCTTTAGATTTGGAGATTGTAAAGTACATACACCTCACGCATTACTTACACATTCAATTCAAACGAAATTTCAAATACACAATAAATTCTCTTTGATAATAAGACTACATTTTGAAATTTGGATTAACAACTTACAAAAATTAAAATCCGATTGCGTCTCAACATAACACATCAAACGCAATCTAAGAACCAAGTATCATCAAAGTTAAAAAATATTCTAATTATAAAATCCAAACATTTAGCAAATATTTTTTTCCCTCAATTTGCGGGATTTTAACCTCCTCAAATTTATTTGCCAGGCTTTTAAAAAAATAAATTTAGGCAGGTCCAAAATCTCCTCATTTTAATTTTATTTAATATTTTATTAATATTTATATTATTTAAATATAAATTATAATACTTATAAATTTAACTTTTGACCTCAATTAATTACACATGCGCATACACAAAATTCATTTTATCTTTTATTTTCTTAATTTATATATATATAATATTAGTTAATTATTGTAAAATCTGATTAATAAGATATTAAATAAAATAAAATTGAGATATTTAAAGGGGGTTAAAAAATCTTCGTTAAATATATGAATTTTAAAATTCAAATTTTTAATAGTGGATACTGGATATCGACTTGACATATGATTTTTTTTGGTAAAATGAGGACATTTCGTTGACAAATTGATTTTGTTTTAAAATGAATATGTATGGATTTCAAAATCTAGACGGAATGAAGGACATTTTTGTATTTACATGAGGTGCATGATCAATATATTGAAAGTAGTGAATACCACTGTTAGTTTTTATGTTACTTATTTGTTTTTTTATGGGCTAGGGATGTATTTAGTGGTCAATAAAAATATTGTCTTATAACAAACATATTAGGTTCATTAATTACCATATAGAGTAAAGGGCTATCTCATTAGAAGGAGATATCATTATAATGACATCAAATGAAAGTATCATTCCAACAACCATGGATTTGAAGAAGGTTTTAGGATTTCGAGAATAAATGTAGACTTGTCCTAGAAAAATATACCACCCAACAAAGAATTAAAGGAGGCCTGTCAAATGAAAAAACAAATAATACTATGATACTTGTTCCTTTGGACATCTATCTTGCACAAGAAGGTTTTAGGTCCTCAAAATTCTAGAATCCACCTAAAAAGGGAAAGAGAAATGTCAAAATCAGGTATACATTCTTTTCAATCAAAAATGTATTTTGCTTCCAATAGATTTTAGGCGTCACAGTGTTTACAGATATCACCCCCTCAAGACACCATACTACGTATGGAATTCACTATTTCTTCATGGAGACCATCAAAAACTCATCAACTTCACACCCTTGTGAATGAATCCTTGCGAAGGATCAATGACATAATTTGTGGGAATGTTCGTCAATATTCAAACAATTCATTCAAATGTTGCAATGTGAGCCGCAGAAAAAGAACCACACAAAAATTCAACAGTCTTCTCGATTTGTCGCTAGCTAGATTGTGATGATAAACTAGAACCTTGGTGATTGACTCATGAATCCTCCTCGTATTGAGAAGATCCAATCCAACCTCTGTCAGCGATTTGAGTCATTCTTGTCCCACCCTTGAACAACGAGCATCATCCAACCCTTATGGGTTTCTATATTAGTTGAAAAAAAGCCTTGCTACCTCCCCCACCTCCATAAGTATACGATGTCACACCCCAATTTACTAATTCGATAACCCCATAAGTCAACACAAAAAATAACACCCTACTAAAAGATCTGTTGATGGAGCTCCATAGATAATCACCAACAGTGGAACATTGAAATAAACAACTTTAAGGGGTCATATAATCAATACTGACCATTTCCTACTACCC